TGTGACTTACGTACAAGAAAAATAAATCAGCCTCCTGGTAGCACAGGGTTAAGTCTCAGCCCTGCGAAGCTGTCACCAGCCACAGAGGCCTGAGTTTGCTCCCAGGCTAGGGAGTGCCCCAGGGCACAGCAGACCCCTCCTGGCTCCCCGCTGCCCCCTTGGCAGTGGATTTCAGTGGGTTCGCCTGTGCTGCTCCCCGCTCTGTCTCTGGGGAGTCCTCTCACCCCCAACCCTCCTACACTCCAGTTCTATGCAAAAATAAAAATCTTCTTTTGAAGATTTATTTGTTTATGCCTACAAAAACTGGGGTACAGGCCAGAGGTACCGGGAGGTAAGAGGATTCCCCCAGAGACAGAGTGGGGAGCAGAACAGGCAGACTGACTGAAATCCACTGCTGAGGGGGCAGCAGGGAGACAGCAGAGGTCTGCTGCGTCCTGTGGGTCACTCCCTGGCCAGGGACCAAACCCAGGCTGCAGTGGCTGGCAGTAGCTTGAGACTTTAACCCCTGTGCCACGAGGCCCGGCAGAGTTGTTTGAAAGCGGTTATAACAGCTGTCACTTAGACAGCACTGGCTATTTGGGGGGGTACTACATTAGATATTTTGCTTATAAGCTCATTTTTCAACGTTATTTCAATTACATTATAGTTGGAAAAAACCAAGTCAGAACAAAATGTCTTAGTTCACTCCCCAAAGAAAACACGAATAATAAATGCCATGGCCTGGATTTAAATGGAGATCTTTCTGCTTCTGAAGCACAAGTTCTTGGTCTGCTTCTCCTGAGTCAGGAGACAAGGCTCACTCCTTTCCTGAGTCAACACGCTCCATGACGATGCCCAGTAACCTGCTATGTTCCAGCGTGGATCGTGACGTCAAAACCTGCCTTTGGTGGCAAAACACACGTAACATAAAATGAAGCCTGGCGGCTAGTTTTATTTGTTTAAGATTTATTGAACTGGGGTGCAGGCCAGAGGTGCGGGGGTGAGAGGACTCCCCAGAGACAGAGTGGGGAGCAGAGCAGGCGAATCCACTGAAACACACCGCTGAGGGGAGCAGTGGGGAGACGGGGGTCTGGGCACCCTGGGGTCCCTCCCTGGCTGGATGGAACCCAGGCCTCCAGGTGGGCTGTTGCGGTGAAAGCCCTGGAGGAACATTTTTAAACTGAATCGTTCTGAGGCGGCTGGGGGACAGGTGGCACGGCCCCTGGGCTGTAATCCGAGGCTGCTGCTGAGGCAGGGGGGTTCCCCGCCTGGGGGCGCTGGGGGGCTCCGCGGGCAGTGAGCCGCCCTCGGTCTCCGGCGCGGCCAGCTTAAGGAAATTGCTGAGTAAATAAGAGGCAGGTGAGTGACGGGTTGCCATTTCGAAGGCGTTTGCAGATGTGGGGGCTGAAGGTGCTCCCAGCCTGTGGTCTTCTCTGTCCTCCCGGCCCCGCTCCGCCCTGCGCCCACTAGCCAGCCTGCCCCTCTGCTGGGCGGCTTCTGGTGTCCTCCCTCCCCCAGGGGCATGCCGGCCCCACAGAACTTCAAGTGCCACTTCAAATTCCCAGGAATCTGACGCAGAAGCAGCTGCTTCCGGTCCCTGCTGGCTGCCAGGGCTTGGGCTTGGCCCTCCCAGCTACTCGCCGTCTGTACCTCCCCTTCGTCCTCGGGGAGGACAGGACTTTGCTTTATGGCTCTCTCTCGTGCTGGACGTGTCGCTCAGTGAGACTATTTTTACTGTCTTGTTAGCTCATTCAAGTATAGGGTGAAACAATGAGGGCTCTCGGGCAGGACGTAAACAGCTTTCAAATAGCTCACTAACGTGGAGTTACACAGGAAAGAGCGTGTGACGTGATTATTAATGTATGAGTTTGATTGACTCCTTTGAGTTAATGACATGAAGAACTCAATGTTTATTACTGTAATTAAGGATGACGTCAAAAAGAGGAATGTGTGGTGACTGAGGAGTCATTTTTAACCAACCACCTGTCTGACCCCTGTGTGCATCTGATTAGAAGGCCGGCGGGCTTCCCGCTGTGTGCCTGCATGTTTCATGCCCGTTTTCGGCCCTGGGCCATGTATGTAAGTGTAAATTTACCATGTAGCGTCACCCTGACTGGAGCTGTTTGCGACTGAAAGGCCTCAGCCCTCGGTATTTGCCATGACCACAGGTGCAGACTGAGAGTTTGGGGTATCCCTCCCCCCATGACTTTATTATAGACAGCTCCACCTGTCCGAGGGAAGTGGCCCCAATCACAGGCCACCCGCGGCCACTGTTTGGGCCAGCCAGCAAGCTCTCCCCCACAACAAGAGCCCCGCCCTTCAACTCCACCCTCCAGTGCTTCTGCACAAGCTTCACCCCCTTTAGCAATAAGCAGCTTCCCTGGCCTGGCCAAGGCATCTGAACCCCTGCCCGGTCGGTACACAGGTGCTGCAGTGGCAATACTGGGGCAAATCTGCCACGCGGCCTTCGGGGAGCTGGCGGCCACCCGAGGCCTCAGCTGCAGCACCTGCCGCGGCCGTGTCCTGCCCCTCGATCCCCGTGGTGACACTGAGGACGTCTAGTCTGAGGAACCCTAACTTGGTCCCCTCACCCCCCTTTTGGGAACAGTATCTCAAAGGGGAACTTTTTTCATGGGTGAGAGAAATTGTTAGCAAAAAAGTCCGGGGTGGGGGGGGATAAGGAAATGGGAACTTGCTGCGCAACTACGGGCGGACCTGAAACTGCTGAAAACTCGGCCCCCCAAAAGTCTACTGAACCTGCGGCCACCGCCCTGAGGGACGCAGAGGAGACATGAGCACCTTAGAGAAAGGCCCTCACCTGGCCCGTGACCACACGGCTACACGGGGGGCATGAGGCGGGTGCCAGCTGGGGGGGTGTGCCCTCCACCGGTCAGCTCCTCCTCCCAGCCCTCCGCACCTGCCGGGACCCAGACCACTGTCGTTTGCATTTGACAGGGAAAAAGGGGGCACACTTGTCAGGAGTCACAGAACCCTCAAGCGAGGAGGCAGGCTCAGGCCCAGCAGCTCCAAGGGGGGCCGGGAGTGGCCTGGCAAGGGAGCAGTCCTTGGTTTCGCAAGGTGACAAGCACAGGAGCACCCCCCCACCTCGATCTGTCTGCCCCCAGGGGCCGGGAGGAGGCCCACGGTTAGGAAATCTGTCTGAGAGGTCCCAGGGCAGTTAGAGCCAGTTCTGCTGCAGGAGGTCACAGACCTGGGGCCATTGGGGCGGGGGAGTTGCTGCTCACTGGCCTGCCTCTTTCCAAGCAGGCAGGCTCAAGCCAAGTCTCACCAAAACCCCAACCCCCCAGGTTACTAAACTTGAAGGCAAAAAATGAGTCCATTCTGTCTTCTAAATGCCACCCCTCCCTGAAATGCCGTAAAGGGTGGAATAATTTGATTCAATAAAGGCCAGAGCCAGAGCAGGGGAAGCAGAAGCCAGCAGCAAAGAATAAATGCCTCCCACCTTTTTTTTTTTTAAAGATTTATTTATGTATACAAGAATTGGGGTACAGGCCAGAGGTGCTGGGGTAGGGGGCTTAGCGGACTCACTAGAGACAGAGTGGGGAGCAGAACAGGTTGATTGACTGAAACACCGTGCTGAGGGGAGCAGCCGGAACACGGGAGAGGTCTGCGGTGCCCGTGGGCCACTCCCTGGCCAGTGATCGATCGCGTGCTGCCATGCCTGCGGATGGCTTCATAGTGCTGTGCTTTAACGCGGCGCGCCACCCGGGAGGGCCCTGGGCAGCCATTTCTGCATCCAAGTCAGGAGTGGGCCTGGGCGCTGAGGTCTGGCTGTGAAATTCGTGCCGTCTGACTCCAGGCTGGGTGAACGGGAGGGAGGAGGCTCCAGTTGCCCTAGTCCTGACCCGGAAGGGGGTGTTGGGAAATCTCACCTTGCTGCAAATGCCACTTCCCTTCTCTCAAGGCCTCACGCCTCCCGGGCCTGTGGGTGGCCCTGGGCCCCCTAGAGAGGTCACCTTTCAAGTCAACCAAGTGTCCCCCTCTTGGTAAAGCACAGGACGCGGGAAGTAGTTCCAGGCCATGGAGGTTCAGGGCTAGGCCTAGTTCCAAGGCCGGATGGGGCAGTGGGTGGGAGCCTGTGTTGGTGCAGTGCCCACTGAGTGCCAGGCCCGGTGAGTGTTTACCAGTTACTTAACCTTCCCATCAACCAGTGTTGTTACTCCCAGTTGCCAAATGGAGAGGTCAGGGTGTAGGCCCGGAGGAGGCCCAGCGCCGGGGCCCCCCACCTGAGCGGCCAGCGGGCTCGCTCCTGGAGGGTTCCCAAGCCCACACGGGGTGTGGCCCGGTGGTGTCAAGCGGTCAAGGGCACTAGCACCTCAGCTGCGATCTGCTGTCGGGCAGCCCCCAAGCCCTGCCTGGCTGTCAGGGACCAGAGGCGCTGGCCCGTCCCAGGCCCCTCCCTGAGGCCTGAGACCGACTGGCCGGTGTCCCCCCACCTTCCCTCCTGGCGCTGGACCCCGCATTTCCCCGCGGAGTCCCAGGCTACAGGTGGGTCGTCGGTCGCCCTGGAGTCCCCGGGACCCCGCAGCTGAGCCACCGGCCGGCCTCCCTCCTCCCAGGCTCAGAGGACACGGGACCTTACCAGTCCCGCCCGCCACCCCCAAAGCAGCCCGCAGTCACAATCGCCTCCCTGTCCACCTCCCTCCCCCATCAACTCAAGCACGACCCATCTTCTAGCACCCCCACCCCACCCCCGCTCCCTCTACCCCGCCCCCTCCTGGCAGGCCTTATCCAATAGCGTCTTGGTCCAGGGGCTAGAGACGTCAAGAATAACCAATAGTCGAGGGGCTCTCCTCTTCGGGCTCCGCCTCCACTCTGAAGAGCAGCTCCTCCGACCAATAGACGAACCCTCGGGTGCTAGGAGCGCGCGGGGCCTGTAGAGCGGCGGCTGGGCCGTCCAATAAGCGGGCGAGTTCCCACAGTTAGGGGCGTGGCAGAAGCGGTCGTCAGGGGCGTGGCGGCAGTTGCTTGGGCGGGGCCGGTAGCGGCGGGAGCTGCCCTGGCCAGGGGTTCCGGCTGCATTTCCATGAGCGCCGCCGGCAGCGGCGGAGCTGCGGGCACCGGCCGGGGGCGAGCTGGGTCGCTGTAGTCCACCGCACGCAGGTAG